CTGCCTCAGCCGCTGCTGCCCGGCCCGGCGGGACGCCATGGGCTGGATGCCGGCGCAGGGTCGTCTGGCGGCGGGACTGCTGGTGAATCTGGCGGCTTCCATCTGCATCGTTTTCCTGAACAAGTGGCTGTACGTGCGGCTGGGTTTCCCCAACCTCAGCCTCACCCTGGTCCACTTCGCCATCACCTGGCTCGGCCTTTACCTGTGCCAGGCTCTCGGCGCCTTCTCCCCCAAGAGCCTCCAACCCTCCCAGGTGCTGCCGTTGGCCCTCAGCTTCTGCGGCTTCGTCGTCTTCACCAACCTCTCCCTCCAGAGCAACACCATCGGCACCTACCAGCTGGCTAAGGCCATGACCACGCCGGTCATCGTGGTCATCCAGAGCCTGGCTTACGGAAAGACCTTCCCTCTCCGTATCAAGCTCACCCTGGTGAGGAGGCGGCTGAGGGGAGCGGGGAGGGGCGGCCGCCCCCCCGGGGGGGGGGGGGGGGGGGGGGGGGGGGGGCGCGCGGGGTTCCCTCCCTCCCTCCCTCCGCCCGCCCTGAGGCGACGCCTCAGAGAGGAGCCCGGTCCGAACCCCGCGCCCTTTTCCCTCTCCACAGGTCCCCATCACGCTGGGCGTCTTCCTCAACTCCTACTACGACGTGAAATTCAACGTCCTCGGGATGGCGTTCGCCACCTTGGGCGTCCTGGTGACCTCCCTCTACCAAGTGGTGGGTAATGGCGGGAAGGGGGTGTGTGGGGGGGGAGATGGCGGTGTTTGGTCTTGGAGCGGCTGCCTCTCGGTTGAATCGCCTTTAAAGAGCGCTCTGCCTTCCAGGAAAGCCTCCACGCGCCGTTATTTATTTTAAGCAAAACCGCAAAACAAACTGTGATAATCCGCCGCAGCCCCTGGTACGCTGTTTAAGGAATTGATCGTCCTTGCTGCTAAAAGCCGGGCTGTCATCTTTCACGTGGTGGTGAGCGTACTTTCAAAGGGTGAAGATGGCTTTATCGGTAAAACGCCGGTTTTCTAGAGAGCACAGCTGTTCTCCTTGCGGAAGCAAGTGCCTTGCATTTGAGCCTTTCCCTAGAAAGGACGTTTGCCAGTCCTTCAGTTACTCCCATGGTTTATCCTTGAGCTGTTGACATTTTGTCAGCATCCTTCTTCAATTTCAACTATACACAGTTTTTATAGAGGGTGCATTAACACATATGCACAGTATAACCTTTGTGGCTGATTATGGTTGAAAAAACACGTATCCAAGGACTGCCTTCGCCCTTTCTGTGTAACATTGTACTAACAGCTCACGACCAGTTCATTATCGGCCATAGCTGTAAAAGCCTCCTAAATTAGAGTCCCCGGTCATGTTGATGTGATAGTCATCATCAACTTAACCGTGCATTTCTTTGTAACGGGCGTACTGCGCCTCCTGAAGAGGTGAGGCTCTTTGACCTGTAGTGTGCGAGACCATAAATAATTGTCTCTTGTCCTGTTTTGCGGCAGGAGGAGGAGAGAGGTGCTGCATAATAACTTTAAGTGACGATGTGCGTACTGGAAAAATGGTACCTGAGTGAAATTTTTCTGTGACTTCTTTTAAAAGAACTTAGCAAGTTTACATGCTGGAATCCGTGTTACCAATTAATGTGATTTATGAAGTATTAAAGTAAATGTCATTCTTCAGTACAATATAAAGGTGCATCTTTTTGGCTTTAACATCTGTCTTCATAACTAGATAACTAATGTTGTCTCTTAAAGGATGCTACATTGACAATCCAAGTTATAGTCAATATTGAAATCTAGTAGATTCACAGTAAACTGGCAAAAGACAAACGTTGACTGGTTTTGTTAGCTTGTGTGTGGAGCAAAAGGAGAAGGGAGCAAAAGCAGATCTCTGCTTAGACAAAGGTGCTTGGCTCCATCATAGACAGGATCTGGACTTTGTCTTGAGAATAGAAGGCAGCTGGCATTTTCTTCCCAGCTCTGCTACTTTTTTCTTTTTCTTCAACTATGATACTTTACCCCCAGGCAATGGGAAAAGGAAGGTTTAGGCACTCAGGCATTTTTCACTGCCCCTGCATATGATTTTCTCCTCACATGCCTTGTGTGCCTGCAAGAGACAAACACATGTGCCTTCGGTTAGGCAAAGGTAGAAGATGATGCTCAACAATCTGTTACGTAGTATTGTCCACACGAGACTCCCTTTGTGTTAGTAGCCAGTTTGCTTTTGCTCAAGTTTTCAATTTATGGGTTTTTTTTTTCCTTGTGCGTAACAGCTTTCTCTTTTGGTTTTAGTGGGTAGGAGCTAAACAACATGAGTTGCAGGTAAACTCTATGCAGTTGCTGTACTATCAGGCACCAATGTCCTCAGCTATGTTGTTGTTCATCATACCCTTCTTCGAGCCAGTCTTTGGAGAAGGGGGAATATTTGGGCCCTGGACGCTTTCTGCTGTGGTAAGGCTTTTATTGACTTTATTTAAATAAATATTCAGCATTGATGTAGTTGAATTTGATAGTAAGATCTGTTTCTTTGTGAAACAGATTTTTGTATAGTTATTGTCTAAGAGGAGATGAGAGGGGCATGTGCAAAAGAAAAAAAACCCTTGTTGTGTTTGCCCCTTTCCTCCTGGAGGAGTCTGTCTGTCAACTGGTTTACCTCCTTGTTTCTGTTTAGAGGGCATCTGAACAACAGGCAAATCTGACAAAATCCAGAAGATTCCCCTAGTGTATTAAATTAAAAATATGTAAGTGCCCAAGTTCCAGCTCTTACTGTCCACTCAGAAAAAGAGATAAGCATGCTCACTTTTGACACTCTCAACTCCTCTTCTGTGGAAGGATGCCAACATTGGTTATTCTCTAGGATTGCTAGTTTATTTTCAGCAAGGCTATAATTTCTGCCTTTATCCTTGGGTCCAAAAAAAAAAAGCCAGTGGCATATTCTTACCACTGCTGATTATGCCGCTCAGTAATGGGCCATTTCTCATAGCGCTACAGTTTATGAATGGGATAGCAAGTATTTGCAATAACAAAATCAGAATATTTTTCCAAAATAGTTTTTGTTGTGACCGTAAATAAGACTTTGTCTCAAAGGTAAAGAATACAACCTCTATGTGTATGAGTAGCCCAGTTTTCCAGATCACTCTCAAATGTTCACTAAGAGTAAAGGAGAAAAGGCTTTTGGTTATATGAGTATATATTTATGGACATCATACCCTGAGATACTTACACACACCACTAGTGCCTGTACTGATTTGAAGCTGTTTCTATTTTTGTTCTCTCTATGGTTTTTTTGGCTGATATTTTGCATTTGGAAGTAAAGGAAACTAAATGAATAACCTGGAATATATCTACAAATGGCCAAAAGTGTGTCAGATTACTGACTGTGTCCATTAATCCACAGATAATGGTACTGCTGTCTGGAATAATAGCCTTTATGGTAAACTTGTCCATTTACTGGATCATTGGAAATACATCACCTGTCACGTATCCTTTGTACCATTAGTTGTTTCTCCTGTTTCCAGATGAATTATATTAGCATTCATTTGGGCTGATTTACTGTGGGAAAACTGTTTGGTAACCTGCCTGCTTTATCTTAAATGATGAAGCTGGAAAAGCATGTTCATGTTTTAGTGTATTTTGTTTCTTTGTTCGGGGTTCGTATAGGTAATGGCGGTTAACTTACTGATGTGACTGTCATACTTACAAAGAATATTTACCCACACTTCAGCTACCTTGAGGAAGTGTTGGCATGTCAGTTTGTAGTGTACGATGGGTGAAAGGCTTTAGGTGGAGGTTAATTGTCATAGCTGCATAGGTGGGGGAAAGTTGCATGAGTTGAAGTCAGTGTGACATACCGTTGCATGCGTTGGATGTAATTAATGAAGTTGCCAAGTGTTTCTCTTTACAAAAAATAATACTGATATTTGCTGTTATCCTTAACAGATGTCTAGGTATAACATGTTTGGACATTTCAAGTTCTGCATCACCCTCCTGGGAGGGTGCCTCTTATTTAAGGATCCACTGTCTGTTAATCAAGGCCTTGGGATTCTGTGCACATTGTTGGGCATTTTAGCTTACACCCACTTCAAGCTTAGCGAGCAGGAAAGCAATAAGAGTAAATTGGTTCAGCGTCCATAAAGCAAGGGTTTCTGGAGATTAATAATATTGTGAAGGA